GTACCCTGGCTGCAGCCCAGCCTCTCCCCTGGACAGTCTCATGATCTCCCCTCATTCCAGCTTGATCTCCTGTCCCCAAATTTTAAAAACAGGCACTCTGGGGTGTCGACCTGACTCTGCAGACACACCACATGGGCCACCAGATTACAGTCAGCAAGGGAAGGTGTTCCCGTGTTCTAGCTGGATGAGCAGCGGGTGCTAAGACAGGGATGCCTGGAGTTGGTCCCTGGAAGGCCTGAAGCGGCGGTGCCCTCCTGGTGGTGAGGGGACACTTGGGCTGGCGGTGAGCAGAGGTTTGCTGTGGGGACAAAGCACCACGAGGTGGGAAGGGGAGGAAGGGGGAGAGCCGAGGGCTGCCTGTGGAGGCCGGAGGTCAGGGAAGTAGCCGTCAGAGTGTCCTTTCCACGGAATGTTCCGTTCCTCTCCTTCCAGCGCCTGATGTCCGCTCTGCGTTCCGAAGCTTGCCTCTCACGGAATCACCCTGCCGGCGAGTCTTAGCGCTTCCCCACGACCACAGAGCTCCTCCATCGCGTGAAAGGCTCGCTCTGCCCGCCTCCACCCTCTCAGCCCCCAGGTGCAGCCCTCAATGCAACAGGGGCCGAATGTGTTTCGTGGACTCGGCAGGTCCTGGTGGCTCAGGACGGCGCAAAAGAAGTGTCTCCAAGCAAAATCGACCCAGTTTTCAAGGGAAGACAGAAGTCAACCTTGGAGACCTCCAAATGAAAACAGGATTTGGTTCAGCATCGAAGGACCTTACTAAGAAGTGCTCTGACAAGCTGGAATGTTGTGGAAATGAAGTGGAGAAGATAACTGAAGAAATATGATGCAAAACAATTGAGCTTGGCACAGGAAATGAAAATGGTAAGACAACAGGAGTGGCTATAATTGAGGTATTTTTACCTCCATGAAAAGACAGAAGAACCTCTTGGAAAACCAACTACACATCACCAGCAGAGACCTAAGGTCTGAAATAGCCAAAACCTTTGAATTTCAGAAAATTATGTCAAAATTGTCATATACAGTGGGGCCTTGACTTACGAGTTTAATTCGTTCTGTCACGGAGCTCGTAACTCAGATTACTCGTATGTCAAATCATTAAAGTGAACGAGTGAGACACGTAATGCTGGGCTGATGTTGTGGCGTTCACTGTGACGTTCGCTGTGCCAGCTAGTGATGGGGTATCTGAAGCTGGCTCATAACCCAAATTTTAGCTCGCAACTCAAAGCAAAAAATCAGCCGAGAGACGGCTCGTATTTCAAAAAACTAATTAGTCAGGACACTCATAAGTCAAGGCCCCACTGTATGAGAAACAACTTCAACTATGTATGTTATGGAAAAATGTGCAGAATTTTAAAATAGAGTTAATCCTATATAATAAAAGGGTAATATGCAAATCGACCTAATGGTGGAAAGACCAGTCACTATGACATGCACTGACCACCAGGGGGCAGACACTAAATGCAGGAGCTGCCCCCTGGTGATCAGTGTGCTGCTAGGGGTGCAGGGTGGGGTGCTGCTGCTCAGCCAGAAGCCGGGCATGTCTGGGAGTCAAGACAAGTTTGCCAAGTTTCAGACCAGGCTCATCTACCCCAGCTGTGGAGGGTGGTCAGCTGGTCTGGGTTCTTGGCTGACTATTCTGGTGAGTGACCCCTGTCACCTGCCCAGCTATGGTCCCCAGCCAAGCTGGCCGTGCCCTTACTTGGGGGCAGATGTGCTGAGCGAAAGCAGATGGAGCCCTCAACACCCGTGGCAGCCGCTGGGGTCACAGAGTTGGGGGTGTGATGGAGGCAGTGGCCAGGCCTTCCTGTTGCCTCGGCGACTGATGTACTATCTGCCCCAGGACTGTGGCCGGCCCCATCGAGGGCAAGCACAGGGCCAGGTGCAGGAGCTGAGGAGCCACCAGGTGCAGCTGGAGTGGCCCTGGAGGCAGCAGGTGTCCCCGGGACAGGACAGGGACTCAGCTCCAGCAGTGCCAGGTGTGTGGGGGGTGCGCACTCCCAGTTCCTGCTCACGGGGCCTGGAGACCCTGTGAGTAAGGCTGAGGCAAAAGTGTGTTTTTGTGACTTTGATCTGGGAGCTGGCAGGGAAGTAGCCATCAGAGTGTCCTTTCCACGAATGTTCCGTTCCCCTCCTTCCAGCGCCTGCTGTCCGCTCTGCGCTCCGAAGCTTGCCTCTCACGGAATCACCCTGCCGGCGAGTCTTAGCGCTTCCCCACGACCACAGAGCTCCTCCATCGCGTGAAAGGCTCGCTCTGCCCGCCTCCACCCTCTCAGCCCCCAGGTGCAGCCCTCAATGCAACAGGGGCCGAATGTGTTTCGTGGACTCGGCAGGTCCTGGTGGCTCAGGACGGCGCAAAAGAAGTGTCTCCAAGCAAAATTGACCCAGTTTTCAAGGGAAGACAAGTCAACCCTGGAAACCTCCAAACAGATGAAAACAGAATTTGGTTCAGCATTGAAGGACCTTACTAAGAAGTGCTCTGACAAGCTGGAATGTTGTGGAAATGAAGTGGAGAAGATAACTGAAGAAATATGATGCAAAACAATTGAGCTTGGCACAGGAAATGAAAATGGTAAGACAGCAGGAGTGGCTATAATTGAGGTATTTGTACCTCCATGAAAAGACAGAAGAACCTCTTGGAAAACCAACTACACATCACCAGCAGAGACCTGAGGTCTGAAATAGCCAAAACCTTTGAATTTCAGAAAATTACGTCAAAATTGTCATATACGGTGGGGCCTTGACTTGCGAGTTTAATTCGTTCCGTGACGGAGCTCGTAACTCAGATTACTCCTACGTCAAATCATTAAAGTGTACGAGTGAGACACGTGATGCTGGGCTGATGTTGTGGCGTTCACTGTGACGTTTGCTGTGCCAGCTCGCGGTGGGGTATCTGAAGCTGGCTCATAACCCGAATTTTAGCTCGAAACTCAAAGCAAAAAATCAGCCGAGAGACGGCTCATATTTCGAAAGACTAGTTAGTTGGGACATTCATAAGTCAAGGCCCCACTGTATAAGAAACAACCTCAACTAGGTGTGTTATGGAGAAGTGTGCAGAATTTTAAAATAGAGTTAATCCTATATAATAAAAGGGTAATATGCAAATTGACCTAATGGCAGAAAGACCA